GCAGGAAAACGCGTTTGGGACGTCAAATTTTCCAAAATTTCTTGTGGAGGGGTCCTTATCCCGAAATGTTTTTGGGCATCACGGGTTCTACCCCCCCCCCCCCAACGGTCATCGAGTCCGTACGCCTATGCACCTCGTCGGAAAAAGGCAGAATGAATTAGCGATCACATTTAAGTCTCTGATAAGATCATATCAGAGCATGGCGTTATGCTGCTTGCTTTAACCAAGAAATTATTCCACCGGTTTTATTTCTCAGGAAACTGAATTACATGTATTATGTTTAAACTACTGAAATCAATAAATCATCACCAACATTCTACAAATACAAACAAGTCCCCGTGTCACCAACATTGTTCCATCAACATCAGATTAAAACTGTGGATTTCAGATGGTCCACGTGCTAGTTTCAAGTGTCACATTTTTATTTGCAGTGTTCTAAAATGTGCCACAGATTACTTTTTAAAACAAAAAGAAAGGACAGAAATCAATATTACAGTTAGACATAACACTCGTTTCTTTCTTTGGTTTTGTGACAGATTACTTTCTAGAACTAAAAGATTGGAACGAAATAAATATTACAGTTAGGCATAACAACCGTTTCTTTCTTTGGTTTTGTTGTGATATGCGTACTGATGTTGCGTTAGTTGTTTGTATTCTGGTATGCCACCTGGAGTCCGGTGCACTTCAATATTCATTCTTAATTTTGTCGACATAGATTTGTCTCTGTATTCAAAAGTGGCCCGCGCCTCCTCTTCTCTGTCCTGTTTTGATACAATGTGTTTAGCGCAATTAGTTATTTTGTTTAATTGCTTTTGCTATTTTCCGATTTGATTATTCCATTCAGGGATGAACTTAACACGCTTTGTTTGTGAACACTGAAACTGTACTCCTGTCTGACATCTAAAAACAGTGATGGTTTATTAGAGCACTGGAGCTTCCCCGGACTTGTAAATACCCATCCAACTCTTGCTAGCTTTTCTCCAAAAGTACACCCTACCCTAAAGACTGGATCCACTCGGCACCAGCATGGGCACAGCTGCCGTCTTGGTTGCTAGCCCAAACTTGTGGTTTGAGAATCGGGGATTATTTTGTAAAATACTGATGAACAAACAGACAATAAAATATGAACAATTATTTGTTACAACACTTCTGTACGCGATTTCTAAAGATCTACTTATCAACATCAGTTGCAGAAGCTTTGATATACAACCGGTTCACAACCAAAACTTGAAACCAACAACATTCCCCACCCCGAATTCTCATAAATATACCCATCTTGTCGGCTTCCTTAAGATTATGTTACACACAGACTACTTGGAGCATCTTCCAATAATGAATACTTAAGGGATATACTAGAAACTACTCGAGAGCCTTCAGATGAATCAAAAATATTGAGGTATTTCTAACATTTTGACATTTTCCCTGCTATTCCCTTGTACTGCTCTATATGCTTGTGTTTTTGCTTAATTATGTTGTGTATTGTGCCTATTGCCACACCAAACTTAACTGCCAATTCTTTCATTGTTGGTTTAGGATGACCTTCAAATAATGTTATCACCTCATACTTTTCTTCAACAGTCAACACCTTAAAAGAACGTGTTGAAAAAATTCCTGAAATTTAACAAATAAGAAAGATGTGAATGGTTTATTAAAGAGTCAAATATTTCCTATACATACATTTTCTACTAAAATAATCTAACCACAATAGAATCCAAATATATATATATATATATATATGACCAAGACATTAACAAACCAGTAAAGAAATACACAAAACCAATCTACTCAAAGTCATTCAAAATTTATTAATAAGACACATCACTAAACATTAAAGAGAGGTATGTCCCACACTTCATAAGCTAGATATATATTTAAACATTTAAAATATGTTCTAAAAATATGCACATTACTTTTTCTTGCTTTTAAGAAATAAACCCATTTTCTTCTTCAACAAGGGTATGGGTGATTAAGTTCAATATTTTTATTTGTTTGCAATAAAATTGAGACTTATCAGGTGGACATTTCCAGACCGAAAGACAGTAAGTATCAAAACTGTTTTAACTGGTGCCTGGTCACACTCGCATTTTTCATGTGTATAACTAATTCAGTGCTTACAAAAAAACAAGTTGAGCTTTATCCAAAACTGTAGAAAAGTCATTTCATTTTCATGTGTATCTTAAGGCCCCCCCACATCAAGTTCTATATGGTAAAAGAAATCCAAAATAAAATGAAATGAAATGGTGTTTAAGGTCCTACTGTTCTGCTCCAACTGGGCTAATGAAGACAACCTACACCATACAATGTGCTATGAGGGAATTTTGCCTGACAGCGGCGATACATTCTACTCTTAATATTGAATTTCAACTGCTAAGGGATCTTTTATGTGCACGCCAATGTGTACACAGGACCTTGGTTTTTCATCCCATATGAACAACTATACAGCTGTCCTTGTCAGACCCCCTGTCCTGCACCACTGACAAGGGGAAACAACGCTGGAAAATCCCGATGAACTTTCACAGCTAACACAGGGAGCAAACCCACAACCTCCAGGCTAGTGAGCCAGCGTCTTATTCAGTTAGCCACCTTGGCTCCCCGTAAAGGAAACCAAATGCATGTGTCAGGTATCTAATCAATCAGAAACACAAACAATTATGACTTTATATGGTTGTCTTATTAATGAAGACATAAAAATACTGTCATCAGATTCCCATGGAAAGGACTTCAACTATATTTTTTATGCAGAGCCATATCTACAATGAAAGTATGTATGATTCCTATAAAACAATATGAGATTCAACCGAGTATGTATTAAACTAACAATAGGAGACTCATGTTTTTGATTTTACCAAATTTAACAAATTCATAAACTAAACTAAACTGAATTTTATTCTACTATATAAAGCAATATAATCTGACAAATCAACATATGTTGTAATGAACCACTATCATAAATGTTGTAAGTTTTCATATTCAGCAAGATGTTTTTCCTTTTGTTTAATTATGTTATAAATTGTTCCCACTGCTACTCTAAACATAACAGCCAGCTTATTCATTGTAACTTTTGGTGAGCTGTGAAATAAATTGATCACTTTAACCTTTTCTTCCACTGTTAATTTATTATTTGTCCTTCCGATGTTCATCCCTGAAAATCAAATAAATGAGTTAATGTTCGGTAAAGATTTAAACAAATATCATATGTACAGGATGTTAGGCAGGAATCTTAATAGTCAGACAGTCTATTATATGATCATCTTCACTGTTTAATTCAACTTTTTCATACAGAGGTTATGTAAATACAGATTGCTTATGCCATGTAAATCTTTTTAAGATTGATAAATTGTATTAATGTAATTTTTTCTAATACATTTTACTGTACACTACTAATGTTTAAACCAAATATTAACCCAACCCATTTGATGCTCTCTTAATTCTGATATTTCTTAACTATAGTTTCAAAAATATTTTCTCCTATAATGCATGATAAAATGTGTGGATGCAATTAAGTTACATGTACAAGATGCATATCATAAAATCTAAACACTGTCAAGATTTCTGTCAAACTGGACAAAGCATATTAGGTCAGGTTCTATCACAAATGTGCAAGATTCCTAAGACGAATACAAGTTACAAAATGATGTTGACTTAAATGAAAAAAAACAAGGATGGTGTACATGTATTACTGCTATTCACATAGTCTGTTTATTCTGCCATTTTTGTCGATAATGTTCTTTATATCGTAGTATATTGTATAATGTTCTTTCTGCACAACAGAATTTCGCAGCCAATTCTTTCCTTGAAATTTTTGGCTCTTCTTCTGATATTTCGATTAGTTTTATCTTTTCTTCAAGGGTGAGTTCTACATAACGACGACTTATTACCAAGTCTGAAATTAAAGATTCACAAATCATTTCAAGATGATATCCGAAATATTTTTTCCTCTTAGGTCTGAACACATAAATCTAAAATATTGTCAGATCTGATGAACTGAAGTGTTCATCATTGAAAGATGATAGAACACATTGATATTTTCGCAAAGATGACTATGATGCTGATGATTTCTGATCCCAATCCTGTAAATATTTGTCTTTTCTCTTCAAAATATTGTAGACAGTTTGCGAAGTAACACCAAACTGTTCAGCTAATTTTCGAACAGTTGGTTTAGGTTCTTGTTCGGTCAACCGAATCAACTTGACTTTATCCTCTAGATGTAGTTCTTTATATTGGCGTGTGTTTAATAGTGCTGAAAAGACAAGATAAAACACATTCCTCAGTTTTGGGTTCACAAACTTTGATGACGATGCAATATACAAAGTACACTTAACACTGCCAAATTTTACATAACCAAAATCATTTTTACCCAAAGTGTCGAAACCCTTTATAACTAGAATGTCCTTCATATGATAAAACCACCTTATACAAATCCAATTGTAATTATGATAAAAGCAATCTAAAAATCAGACAATTCTTAAACAGATTTTCCAGATATGACACAACACCTTTACTCTTTTTTTGAAAAAAAAACCCCCACTAAGTAATACAATAACTGTCTTAAATCATTTAATGCTGGGACATGTAGGTGGAGGAGTCATTAACTTTTTCTTTACTCAGCCAAGTTTTTAATCAAATTTCCTTCAAACTGGTGCTAACTTAATTCACAATGAAGAGAATGATACCATTTTTGATTGTAAATTTTACACGTGGGGTATATAATAAATGATTTTAATCCTTTGAAACTTGTGTATTTGTAAGTGCCACTGCAACATACTAATTTGATTGTGTGTTCTTTTGTTTTTGTTCAAACATATGAAGAAAATGATGTTTCTTTTTCAGTAGTTTATAAACTGTGCATAGTTTAATATCAAACTGAGCTGCTAGTTCCTTAGTTGATGGTTTTGGTATTTGTTCAGAAGCTCTGATCAGTTTAACTTTATCTTCAAGAGGCAACTCCTTATAATCACGAGTTGTAAGAAGTGCTGAAATTAAACAAAAAGAAAAGCCTCTTAAAATTTGACATATTTATTACTAACTTGAGATATATATTTTTAGTTTACATGTATTTGTACAATAAGTTTATGTACTTTACAGTGATGAACAGATGTATTTGAAATCAGAATGTCTATGTACAAAAATGACAGAACACTACCATTATTATTACATGTAGATTCTGGTAAATAAAATATTAAATAAAATAAATCAAAGATGTCAAATTATGGCTCACTTTTTGCTTAGATACAAATTGGGATCCCAAGAAAAACACATAAATAGCATTTTTCACATTTTGCTTAAAAGTCTGTGTGCATCATTTGCATTTTGCATAAAACATCAAAATTATTATTTAACATTTCCTGGTTTGAATTCAATCAGATATCAGATAAAAAAGTGGTCCACCAAAGAATTAAGTGAAGTTTACAGGTGCTGGCTTTAAACCATATCCTGTTTATATCATCTACATCTACTGAACAGATTTGAACCCTTTTTGGACTGATATACTATACATGTATTCCTTTTTGACACAAACCTTTTACAATATTGTAGTTTGCAATGGATTCATCAATCCTTCACATGGCATATTACTTAAAACTATGATTCATTTTAGATTTTCCTACCCAAGATAAAAGTTATATTTCACCCCCACAAAATTTTCTTACATAAAACAGTATAGAACTACAAGTAACATATTTACATACTAAATTCTACATTTAATTTATAAATTTTTTTTAAGAACCTATCAAAATATCAATTGAGCGTCATCAACATTTTCATATAGTATTGTAAATTATTATTAACTTAAAAAAGAGAATGGATCTGTAATCTTTGTTGAAGTAATTGTTCTTTCCAATCCATGTATTCGAATGTACATATAAGCTGTAAACGACAGGACTGGGGATGACAAGACGGTTAAATTGATGTAATAGGATTTGGTAGGACAGAGGATATGCTAGTCTAGTATAAATCGATGCATATAGGATAGTGTAGGATAGAGGATGGGTTAGTACAGGATAAAATTGATGTGGATAGGATAGTGTAGGATAGAGGATGGGCTAATACAGGGGAAAATTGATGTGGATAGTATAGGACACTGTAGGATAGAGGATGGGCTAGTACAGGGTAAAATTTATGTGGATAGAATAAGACACTGTAGGATAGAGGATATGCTAGTCTAGTATAAATCGATGCGTATAGGATAGTGTAGGATAGAGGATGGTCTAGTACAGGATAAAATTGATGTGGATAGGATAGACAGGACAGGAGATGACAGGACGGTTAAATTGATGTTAGAGTGGTAAAAGTTAAAATGATGTTGGACTTGTGAATAACATGAATCAAAATAATTATGAGTAATGTAACATAGAAATAAAGGTTCTGTTTAATCCAACTTTTTAGTCACAAAAAATACAATAGAAACAAGATCCTACCAGCTGCAATGTACTAATTTTGTCTCTAGAAGTAGTTGTGACAATAGTAGGTGTATATATGAATATCAACAAAACACTTTTTACACATGAAAAACTATAACTTTAGGTAGTCTGCACAATAACTACTCTTCTGGGTTAAAGTATAATAATTCTACCATTTCTTTTTCTCATAATCCGCTATATATTTGTCTTTTTTACGCAGAATACTATAAACCGTGTGAATTTTACTATTATACTTTACTGCTAATTCCTTAGCGGATGGTCTTGGAACAGATTCAGATTCTTTGATTAGTCGGACTTTATCTTCTAACGGTAATTCCTTATATTCGCGTGTTGAAATCAAGTCTGAAAAATATAAAGTAGGCACAGCATGAGATAAATTTCGGGTCATGCTCACTTTACTATTGTGAACAATACTTGCTTTCTGTCAGGTTAATAAACCACACCACAAGGAGTAGAGATAAGAAAGAGAAATTCCTATGGTCAGTTAAGCCAACACACACTTTCGAGATTCACTTTCAATATTCACCACAAACAAAAATTTTCACTATCCACAATTTTCATCATACCAAGTTAAGCAAGTCTGATTTATTCCATTAATTTCTTCCTTTTTTCATATTCAGCCAGATATTTTTCCTTTTTCTTAATGATATTATAAGCTGTTTTAGTTTGAACATCAAATTCTTCTGATAATTGACGAACTGATGGTTTAGGCTGCCTTTCTGATGCCTTTATCAACCTTACTTTTTCCTCCAATGGTAATTCCTTATATTGACGTGTGTTTAACAAAACTGAAATCAAACAATAGTTTTAATATTACTATCTGGAATTGACAAAAGAATGTTTTATGTACAGAGCACTCACAGAACTATCAGTTTGATGTTGACTCCGGAAAAAATCTGGAATCAATAGCCCACCCCTGTTCAGATTGTTTTAACAATGTGAGATAGTGTTCTTTTCTCTTATAAATATTATATATTGTTTTACGCGCAATTCCAAATTTGGCAATAACTTCTTTCATTGCAGGTTTTGGAACACTCTCCAACATTTCAATCACTTTAACTTTATCTTCTATGGACAGTTCTGTTCTATTGTGTACATGTCGAAATTGATCTGAAATTTGAAGAAAATTATTGAAGTTTATGCGGATACTTGAAAATTTGTACCTAATATCCATGTTTTTGAGATGTTCACTAACAAAATGTACATGTAGCCAAATCTATAAATATAAACATCATCCATGATTAACACTTAGTAATATCCACAACCAACATTTTCCTTACACACTTGGCACTAAATTAAATTGAGTTCCTATCCAAACAAGAGAATATGACCACCGGATTTCAAACACATTTTATCAAGTACTGCTCTTCTCATATTCTTCCATATATTTGTCTTTCCTCTTGATGATATTATAAACTGTTTGCCTTGTAACTCCAAATTTACTTGTGATAGCTTTTATTGAAGGTTTAGGGACTTGTTCAAACATTTCAATCAGTTTGATTTTCTCAGTGAGTGATATGGAATTGAATTGGTAGGGTCGTGTAAGCAGATTGAGATCTGAAAATAAGTAAACACTTAATAAGACACCGCTAAAACACTTGACAAGTAAATAATCAGTTTTTATATATAATAAACTATACAAATCAACAACCGCCAGTCTGCCAACAATGTTGTGTACCATTTTGATTTCTTCCATGCCTACATGTATCTCTACATTCTAATTAACCAGACTGCATTGCACACATAATATACATTTAGATCTTAATACCTAAATATTCCTTTTCTAATCTAATAGCATAGTTTAGTTTTTAAATTAAATTGTTACAAAATTTTCTAGTAAAGATGATACAGAAAACTAAATGGTCAACATAAAGTAAACATTGACTTACAGTTACACTATAGATCACTCTTCAATTTGTGTTTTCTTTAGAATATAAGGATAAATAATAACTTCTTCTATGTATGATATTGTAGACTGTTTTACGACCTATACCATATTGTTTAGCCAAGGTTAAGGTTGATGGTTTAGGAATCTTCTCATATTCAAGTATTAAGCTGACCTTTTGCTCAAGAGACAATTCCTTATATGACCGGCTATTCATACTGAAGTCTGAAATTTAAACCAATATGTCAATCTTTCATTGAATTTTATTTCAATAAACTTTTATTGATTTCTATTTCAACAATCAATTATCCAAAGATAAGGAGTGATCATAGTGTAAGTGTAGCCTACACTTATGTAATTCTACAAAAGTTTTTTTTTCTGTTGATCTTCTTCCTGTGTTTAACCTTAAACAACATTAAGCAATGAGATACCACTGTAAGAATGAAAACATTACCTTCTCTACTAATATGACCGGGATTCAACTAGTTAACAGCAAACATCCTCAAGACAGAAATGTTTTTGTATGTTTATAAAATCTGAACATGAACCAGTTTTTCCATAAACCAGCAAATCATTTCTTTTGGTGTCAAAATATTATTTTGGATAGTTTTTATGACAAAATTTCTCTCTACATCAATATTGCCAATTAGCCTATATATCATAATTTCTACAACAATTAAGTTTTTCCAAGAGCACTACTTTATTTTACACACATTATGATCACTATAATGGAAAGCTTCTCACATAGATCACCAGAAACACAAGTGAATATATGTAACTTCATGATAAAACCATAGTCATCAGCAGGTAATGAATCAAGATTTTCTACTTCTACTCTAGTCAGTAAAACCCAATAATACTCAATTCAGCATTTTGAATGAAGATATAATACAGTGGACAATGACTCAATGACACTAAATAATGGAAGAAACAATTTCAAGGGAATCTAATTTCACATTTTATTTAACAAAAACAAACTTCTTTTTTTTTCCAAATGTTGAATATGCAACGCCTTAGTTAACACTTTTACTCTATTTGGTGAAATTCATATGGGTGGCAGAATTGTACAGATGTATAGTGATGGACAATGTGGAGGTGGCCCTTGAGTGAGTGTGGCTGAATGCCAGCCTGTGTAGGTAATATTTTCTTTTGTCCAACCATTCATCCTTTGTTTTTTTAATTATATAATCATGGTATGTATGGCACATGTGAGTTCTAATTCAGCCAAATCGGAATTTCAAGCCAAATCTATCATAACTACTAAATTTCATTTTTTCTGAAGAAACATGTTCTGGTATTCATCTTTTCTCTTTAATATTCTTGAAACAGTTCTAGAAGAAACATTATATTTGATAGCTAGTTCATCTATTTTAGGTGGAGGCATAGTCTCTCTGTCCTTGATTAGTTGCACTTTCTCTTCCAGTGACAACTCATTGTATTTCTGGGCTGAGAACATGTCTGAAATTTAAATAATTAAAATTCAGTCAGCAGGGCCCCCTCCATTTGTTATATAACAGCATAAGTTAGTTTTAGTATTGCATTCCAATATTATATATCGGGTGGGCCAGAAAAAACGAGTACACCATTTAAAGTGGAATAATTCAAAAAGTATTATACCTATATCATTAACCTTTCACATGTTGTACCATATGATGGATGTTTGACAATTTCACTCCAAATTGCAGATCCACCTCCCAAATAATGTTTACACAATGAAAGTTTTAAAAGATCTGTTGCCAGGCAAAGAAACATAAGCCCACAGCAGCTAAGTCGTCCAGACAATCATCAAGGGTTGTTGCATATATTTTCTTTTGTCAGTAATGAAACATTTCCAATACACTAAGGCTTCTTCGTCTCATAACCTTAAACACTGTGTATAAATTCAAAGTCAATCGGTATTAACTTTAGCTTCTAGAGTGTCCACAAGATTTTTCAACATGATCAAGGGCCATAACTCTGGCAGTAATTATTGGAAGTCCTGGAAAATTAATAGGGTTCTTTGTCTCATGACATTAAACATGGTGTGTAAACTTTACCGTCTATAGCTTCCACAAGATTTTTCGAAGTTATCAAGGGCCATAAAACTGGCAGTAATCTGATATCCTTGAAAATCAATAGGCTTGATCATTTGTATAAATTTAAGGTCACTTCCACAAGCAATTGTAACGCAGGACCACCGGACGAGGTAGCGACAATATACGACCACATTTCAGTCAATGTAGCCGTATTAAAAGAACGTCAAATCAAGTTCATGTCCTCCATCTTGCTGGTAGAATTAAGTATTTTTTTCCATCCAGAAATCTAAGAAGGTTATTGTGTTTGCAGGTGTTAGTTGTTGGGTCAAAATGTACATTTGCTTCATCGCTAATAAGACAATGAATGTTGACTCGAAATCTTATATGGCTCTGCTTGAAAATGAATTATTACCAACATGTATTTGCTGCAGGCTCTATCAGAACAATTTTTTGACTCCAGCAGGATGGGGTGGCAAACTAGACTTGGAACTACCTAAAATAAATAGATCTGTGGCTGCCGCACTCTCTGGACCTGAATCCAGTGGGTGCCATCAGGAATAGTCTTCTAGGAAAAAATTTAAGAAGGATGCATGAAACCGTTTACGGAAAATGAGCTGAAGGATACAATTCAATCAAAATGGTTATAATTAAGCTTAGAAGAAACAAGAAATTCGATATGGGAGGAAAAGGCACTTACATGTACGTATGAGCAAAACGGAAAACATATTGACCATTCGTTTATATAAACTGAGGTGTGTGTAATGTGACTTCTCAGTCCAGCAAATTTTTTTCAAAACTTGTACTATATTAATACTACCGTATCTGTGCGGTGGATCTGAAATTTGGAGTGAAGTGGTCAAACATTCATCATATGAAATTTCAATGATACAGGTACAATATTTTTTGAATTATTCAACTTTGTATTATACTTGTTTTTTTTCTTGGCCAAACCATATACATATACACTCTCCCCCCCCCCCCCCCCAAAAAAAAACACAACAGATTCTTATCAGCCCCCAGCTTCTCTACAAAACTATAGTGTTGCTATGAACATTCTTTTGTTATTTTACCTTAGTAAGTGCTGTTATTATCAATGTTAATGTTTTGTAACATGTGCTAATGTAATCCTCTGCCTGGATAAACCATCTGACCTGGTTCTTTGCCTAATATATACTATTATTTTAATCAGTAACTTTTTAAAAATAATATCTAGAAAAATAATGATACTTTATTTCTATAACTGTATGCAAGCAATTATTGTAACATACTATTATGAATAATCACATAAGTTTCATAATAAAATCATACAGACACATATATTATAATTTCACAGAAAACTGAAGCAATGCAAACAGTAAGCCAATATACAGGATATATGATACAAATTATTAATATTATATTGTTCAATCTACACAATTTGTACTAAAGCAATATGCTGCAAGATTACTATATTATTGTATAAATTCATGATATTATTACAAATTTAAAGAGCTAAGCCCCTTCAGAATTGTCGAATAAAGAGGTCTCAACATTTTAACATGTAAATATGACTCAAACATAACCTGTTAAATTCAAATATTTCTCTTGCCCTATTACCTTCAAAAACATATTTCCGATATCGCAGCAGAGTGCCTAATTTAATCCATGTTCTACACAACCGATTTATGACAATAGTTATTACATATGGCAGGTAATGCATCGGTAACAATAAAATAGTTATGGTTTTGTGTGTAGTTGATTAAACTAAATAATTGAACTATGAGTATATGAATTATTAGCCAGATCAAATTTTAATTTTTCCTCATATAAATCCTTATATTCCTGTTTTCTCTTCATTATTCTGTGAACAGTTCTTCTATTTATGTCATATTTTTGTGCAATAGAGACCACAGTAGAAGATGGATTTTGTTCCCGTTCTTCTATTATTCTTATCTTATCCTCTAGTGATACTTCCTTCTTCTGGTTAAGATACAAATCTGTAAAATAATCATAGATTATTTACAGCTGCATAAAAATAATTCAGACATAATACACATATGTTCCGCATCCACTATCAAAAATTCTTAACTTAAAACCAGAAAGACTTAACTTCTAAAACAAAGTAACCATTTCATTTACAATGTACAAAACTTCAAATCACAGAAACACAATATTTAGCACTACATGTATTTAAGACAACTGCATCAGTACATATGTCTTAATATTTCAAACACATTCTTTTTAATCAAGAGGGAACTACCGGTAAAAAAACCTTTTATCAAGTATCTGAACAATATAGAACAAAGAGTGGATGGCAAGAAATGAAGAAAAAAAAAAAAAAATTTTTTTTTAAATTTGACACAATCAGTCATCTTCTAAATAACCTACCATCAAAAAATAAATTTACTAAAAAGACACCAATTTTTCCTGCATGTATGATATATTGTTTGGTAATATATATACTCTTCCAAAAAAGTAGGGGATATTCAGAAACAATACAAAACTGCGGAAATGCACTGCTGTTTTTATTAGAGGTACATGTAACCAGTGTATGTTACTAACAGGCCAATTGCCTACACATGAACATAAACAGTTCATATGGGCGGCTTATCTGACGGCCCCATTCCACTCGCAAAGAGATACACCGTCAAAAGTGAAAATGGACGTTTTTGATTTTTGTAATAATGAGTAATTGCTTCACCAATCCTCAGACATTCAGCAATTCTTCGTGGCATGCTCCTTATTAACCGTCCAATCATGATTTGGGGCAATCTGATCCACTCCTCTTGCAGTGCCACTGCCAATTCTTGCACTGTTGTCGGTTGACGTTGACAAACACGTCTCCCGATCAAATTAAACATAACACACTAAAGCAAGGATATGCTAAACAGTAAATCTTATGCAAGAACAGATAGGAAAGCAAACATGGATAGATAAACCAGCACGCGGCAGTTTTCATCAACCCTTCCTTGAAGTGTCAAATTTGACAATGATCCCCTCCCACGTGTATGGCGTTATTGCGTGTCGCACATGCAGCTCAGTGGTTCTGTTGGGGGCGATAAGTTCTTCATCTGTGAACATACTCTCAAAGCATGTCAAGTGTCTACGACTATTTATCATATCACAACCTGCATAGATATTTGCATTTCAATATCCCCTACTTTTTTTGAAGAGTATATATGAGGGTAATAATGGTTTATTATTGGCAATTATATCATGGCTCGAAATGTTCGCCTGTCTACTTGTCGCCAAGATGCGATGTTTACGTCTGACAGATAGCAAGTAAAACTACCTGTCGCTTGTGACAGGTGGACTAAATTTTACTTGTTGTTCAGTACACAATACCAACGTCCACGTCACATACATTTAATTATTCGTTTCTAAATGCAAGAATTAAGCATGGAAATACCGCAAAAAGCCACCATTTGCACTCTTTACATTTCGCTTGGTCTTATTTCGTTTCGTTTTTTTTTTATAGTTCAAAATGTCATTTTACTTGTCTTTACTACACTAGGATCTGGAAAAGTTGTTATATTATCAATGTTTTGGTTGAAGTGGGGGATAAGCCATAAATGCCAACGCTGATTGATTAATCAATGATTGACGTCATAGGGTCAAAAGCCCCTCGTACAACCCCTGATAGAACCTTATAGTACAACTTGTCAGATCTTCATGTAGTGTAGACCAACGAAAGTATAAAAAAAAACGAAATGAAATATAGATCTGTATTTTAATCAGATTGAGGATACAGTTACTCACACAGTTTGGAAGTAGCCAAATTTATAATGATTAACAATGAAATTCACACCATCTACGCTGGTTTTCATCTGCTTGACACTATAGCATTATAGAGTATTATACCTAAATAAATTAAAACGCACCCTTAAGTCATCTCAAATAATTCTACCGGAATGACACCACAGTAAATACAGTGGTGGCTTGAATGGAAATGCACATGGCTCATTGACTGGTGTATTTAATCATTTAAAACAATTTCCATAGAGGCTATGAATAATTTATAGCAATTACGGTATAAAATTGGACAAAATCAAATAATTAGGTCGGGAAAATATTCCATGTATAACTAGAATTTGTAGCGTAAATATAAACAGGATATGTGAGAAAGGAATTTCAGGGCGTGTTACCTGTCCTCCGCACGCGGTACATGTAAATACGGTGCCATGCACAGGTGTGATTTGTGTTTTGATATTCAATTTATTACGGATGTTTAAGAATCTGAATTCTACACCTCAATGGCGATACTTGGCAGAATTCACGTGGATACAGATAATAGAATTGCACAAATCTTTGAGTCGTTGAGTCAAAGCAGTTTTGCAGACTTTCAAGAATTTTTAGGCATTCCGATGTCAAAGAAATAAAAACGTTTCATATTACGATATTTATATGGAGCAATGTAGGTAAAAACCTAAACAATTTAAGAGTGTTTGTGTACCTACATGTATGGATACGTGTCATGTGATTGGTCTTTGATAACTGAGAGTGACAGGTTAGTTACTGAAGTGACAGGTATGAAGAAAAAGCTACCTGTCGCGGTTTTTAAACATTTCGAGGCCTGTATATGATATACATTTGTACCAGTAAACATTTATTCAAAATCTTTGGATATTATTTAGTCCCTATATTGTGTGGAAATTTGTAATTAGAAATGACAGGTTTTGTTTAACATGGAAAATTGCAATATAATAGGTTTCCCACCCCAGCCAGATGATCTTATATAATAACATTCAAGAACTAGTTAATTACTTTTCTTATTAAGGTTACTAAACAAAAGATTATGTTGACTTAAATGTTAATTTTAATATCACTTTTTAACTTCTTTTGATTTAAACAGTGCTTTAATTTCATCTTTCTTTTTCCAAATTCGAAAAACTGTGCTTTCTGATATTTCATATTTTCTACACCACTCAGAAACTGGTGTGGATGGGTTCTCTTCTCTATCTGTGATGAATTGTACTTTTTCCTTTAATGTTAATTGTTTATACTTCTGTGTGGTCAACAAGTCTGAAAACCAAATATTAACAATTATTATTTTTGTTTTTTTATACATGTATGTTTCTATGTCATGATCTAAGAATATATTGTTCAGACAACCGACCCCATAGTTTAATATAAACTTGTACAATTATAGTTGATAGCGTAAGCCTATTACATATATTTTTGTGAAACAACCTACTGCTAGTTATGTAATATTTACAAAAAGTGTGCATTTGTTAGCCTATCTACAAATGATTTCAGATTATAGTGATTTGATGACATCCACGTTTATACTATAGTTGTCTTGGGAATATTATTCAGATCAGATCCAACACTTCTGATGACACACCCTAGGGTAAACGAGACAACTTTATTTTGATATAGTTAAAAAGTGCTGATAGAACTGACGAGATATAACAAACAACAGGAACTACTATATGAATTATTTTTTTTTAGTCTGAAGAATTGATCTGTATTCATCTTTACGACGCAATATTCGTTTCACTGTACTTTCTGATACATCATATTTCAGAGCTAATTCTCTAATGGTTGGAGATGGTAAGCTTTCTCTGTCTTCTATTAATTTGACTTTATCCTCAACAGAAAGCTCTGTATGTTTCTGGGTTGCAAAGATATCTGAAACCAAACATAGGCACTTGAAAATACCCTAGTATTTAGATAAATACACTAAATGGTCAAAATATCATTGAATAATTCAGATTATAAAGCTTACTTAAAAGGTAATCTTGTGTATTTATGCACAGTCCAAATCAAATTAACTACATCTTCATGTCACACAGACATAAGATACATGTAAGTCAGTACCTTATACAACTAAGGATATATAATGGCCAAAACATCTTAATTTACCAAAAACATCTTATATTTCAAAACTTCAAAAACAAAGAAATCAACTGGGCTCACAATGCAAAACACGATATTCAATCAAGAACTACATCAACACTGTAATAAAGAATGTCAAAATCTGTTATTAAGTTGAGAAAAAGATATATTATTCTCCACACAAAAATGCTGCACACCTTTACTATTCTAAAAAGACCCAAGATATAAGATAACTCGCTATAATTTTCCCACTAGTCTTTCGCTGATCGAAGTTATGTTTCAATAGTGTACAGAACCCAATAACATACTATATGATTTGTTTAGAAACTGTTTGAACCCAAGTACAATAGTACAGTGTTCTATAGTCAAGAAAATATGGTAGAGCCTAAACTTGTATTTATTGTAACATTGCATACTTTTCTTTCAATTTTAGTCTATTTTTTATTATGTGATAAACAGTTCTTTCTGATATTTGATACTGTTGCATCAATAACTTCACTTTATCCGTAGTTTTTTGATCACTTGCTTCAAAGTCATTGATTAAACAAATCCTATCTTCCAAAGATAATTCTGTACGACTTTTAGCAGCTTTTAACATCATCCACTGAGTGCTGTCTGAAATTCAAAGAAAGCAATAAAATTAATAGATGTCCACTTTCTGCTGAATTTCAAAACTTATCTAAACACAGTTTTTTCACTATATTAAATGATCACAAGGGCAGCATTTTATGGTAAACACTAATCCATGTATGAAACATCTGTCATTCTATAACAACTGGGGGAACGGCTGTCGAAACGGATCTCTGGATTGAATACTCATTCCTATATTTGGTCTTTTGTTTTACAATACAATAAACTGTACTTTGTCCAATGCCAAACTGGTCGGCTAATAATCGCACTTTGTCGGTGGTTTTCAAACTACTTTCTTCATACTGATCAATCAATTTTATTTTCTCCTCTAAACTAAGGTCTTTACGAGCTCGGCTGCCTGTTACATATTGTAACAAAAGGTTTTTGTCTGAAATTCAAACAAAAATGTGTTAATACTAAACTTTTGCTTTGAATCTAGTTATTTCTATTTAAAACCAATGTGAAATGTGTTGGTGATAAATACATCTGACTATGTCAGTGAAACAGAATTATCAAGATAAAAAAAATTGTAGAAATAACTTTCATAGAATATCTGTATACGACAAATCTAGCACACATTTCCTCAGCTCAAATTATGTCTTTTGACATTATAATTCCCAACAATGTCTGTTGCAAGTGGATATCACCAAATAAAACTGTGAAGCTACTCCATTTTAAGTTCAAGCTTACTAATATAACTACTGTCAAAGAAAGTATCTACGTAAATATTCCGTACAATACAGTTGCATTACTTATTTCAAATCATTACAATCACTGTTTTATTATTATTCCCTTGAGGCACTGAGAAGTAAGACTAAGATACATTTATAAACAAAATTTAAAACATTTTTTTCACTGATTTTGATCGCTGTCATATTCCTTCATAATTTCATCTCTCTTTTTCAGTATTCTATACACAGTAGCTCGACCTATTCCATATTTTCTGCACACATCTTGAATTTTTAATGTTTTTGTTTGGCTACTTTCACCATGACTATCTAAATCATTTAAAATTTGAACTTTTTGTTCCAAACTCAAAATTTTCCTTTGGTCTGTTAATAAATCTGAAAATATATCAAAATTTTTACTGGAATGGGCTGGCTTGTAAATATCAGTATGTGCTGAAAACTCAGAACTTTGTAAGATTAGATAGTTTTTCCTGGTATTGTTTCATAATAGAATCGCGATTTTTTAAAAATCTATAAACACTTGTCCTCCCAACTCCATATTTTCTACGTATATCCTGTATGATATTTCCCATAATGTTAGTGGCAGATGATTCACTATCAAACATATTAAGCAGTTCAACTTTCTCTTCTAGACTCAAAATTTTTCTTTGGTCTTGAAATATTTGCATTTCTGAAAGTAAAGAGAAATAGGCTACTTGTATTTTCTAGACAATCGAATTTTAGTTCAGTATTGGATTGTTTTGGTTTTTCCTATATAATAAATACACAAAGATCCAATAAACTTGGACAACTAAAAACTGCATAAGTTTTTTCATCAAACGTAAACTACAGAATTATTTGTGTATTCAAGTCTTTATTAGAGAAATAATTATCAAATACTTATTCCTTTTTCTTGCATCTTATTTGTTATTAATTTGTATTGTTTTATTGCATACAATGATCTAATAAACCTTATCTGTTGTATTTTCTAGATAATGCAATTTGTGTCTCCAGTGACCTAAACACCTGTTAATAAGTGATAATTTTTAGGTTTTTTCCCCATACAATTTTACTGTCAAAACAAGGTACATGTACAATTTTAAAAAATAGCAACTTCTAAGGTAATAGATGGATATTTTTTGACTTCAAATGGAATTCTTTGTCTATTAAAACAAAAGAAACTCGATAAATTTGTCATTCACTTGCTATTGCTTTCTTTCTTTTTCGGTAGTGTGGCACAAACTTGATTACATTACATGTATCTATGAATACCATATCAACATTAATAATAATTTTATTATTTACTGACCAGAATTTACAGACAATTAAAATCCAAGCCTTGAAATAACTGTTAAGGATCAGCCTGACTGATATTCTGCCGGACATTTCAGATTTTCAGCCTGACAAATACTTTATAAAGTATAGTTTACCAAAAAAATGTTGAAATTTACTATGTTTAATCTTTGTTATGGTATATATATATATATATATATTAATAAAATAAATTGGTGACTCACAACCTGCAATACAACTTTATAGTTCGTATAATAATGTCATTAATCTCTTTGGTGGGGCTGGGGACTAAATCCTAAAAACTCTGATTCAGATTCAGAGTTAAATAACGAATAGACATCTTGTTCTTGAGTTGTCGTAAATGATTAAGAATCTGAATCTGAATCCGATGTGTTAGAAACAATAGTCACAATATCTAAATTAGTTTTTCTCATTTTGTCTCCTTATTTTGGCCTTTCTCCACAAGTCAAAGACTGGATTTACATCAAGATCACAGGGAGATGGTCCTTCAGCAAGTATCCTGAGATTGTTTGTAAGACGATGTTCCCCTAAAGAGCATCTGGTATCCGTTTTTGTTCTTTTTAGCAGTGAGAACAACCTTTCAAGTTTAGCATTTGAAATGGGAAATGTATATAACAGTTCAATAATTGTTAAAATATTCTTCCATTTTGATTGAGAATGAACAGATTGAAAGAGATATTTCCAAGTCTTATTGTAATCATTTATAGCAGGATGAAGAAACCTAACTGAATACTCAATCATATCATGCCATTCATCTAATATTTCAGTAAATGAGCAAGAAAGATTCAATATTTTTTCAAAATGTTTGTAGATAAATTGTAAATCATCATCAGCAAAACTAATATTGTCAGAAGAGATATCCAATTCAACCTCCCATGCAGAATTATTTAAGATTTTTGTTGCCTTAGTCATTATCACTTCATCTAAATTGCCATCCTGTTCAAATCTTTTATTTATAGCACTGAGGAGATTTTCAATTATTTTATTTTTGTTTATCTTTATATCACTTAAACATTTGTCATAATCTGCTCTTGAAAACTGAACACCATTATAGTCTACTGAACCATTTTCATCCTCTCCAGTAAATATCAGAGCAGAAAAGAACTTTTTAACTGCAGGCAGATTTTCAAATTCACAATCTGCTAAATTCTTCAATTTATCTTTAGCTCGTTTAAGGCAGATAGAAAAGCTTACAGGGTCAACACTTTCTGCTTGAAAACATTTAGACAAATGTGAAGCAGGGGTAAGTATGTCAATAAATAGAGGCATCTGTAACAGGATATCACAGTTTTTCCATATTTTCAGATATCCTTTTAATTTATCTCTGTCTGAACAGGAATTGTCACTTATCAAATGTTCTAGATGCTGTATATATACAGCAAACTTATCTAGCACTAACTTGAGGGCAGCAAGTTTAAAAGAAACCCAGCGTGTTCCTGATGAACGTTTTGGACGAATAGATTTACTGTCATAATCAAAAGAATCCTTCATGATGTCAAAAAGTGATTTCAGTTCAGCCAGTTTCTTGGGGGACCTTTGATAAATGGCAAAAAGTTTAGTTAGCAAATTGTC